ATAAATTGAACTAAATCCACCTTCAGTTAACTTTGTTACTTTTTTAAATTGTTCAAAAGGTATCCATTCTAAAATATGAGTTGGTAGAGATGATTTTATTTGACATTGTTGAATAAAATCATCAATTATTTTATTTCCAGATGTCCAAGTGGTGAAAAGACTCTGCAGTTGTAAACTAATACAACCTTCACAGAATTTATCAGAGTATCTTGTCAAATTACACTTGTTACATTCTTTTGGTTTGCCTTCTTCAAACATTGCATTATCTAATTCAAAACTATAAATAAATCTATTTTTACAATAATTTTTTTCATTTTCAGTAAGCTCCTTGTTTTTTTCAACCAAAGAAAAAAAATAATCTTTACTACTTTCTCTATCAGAATTAACAAAAGTATTACCATACATTTCACAATAAATTTTAAATACGTATTCTTTTTCTGATGATAATAATTTATTATCATGATATAACATTATATAAAAATAAATGTCTTTATAAAATTTAAAATTTGACTTGATTATCTATTGTGATTTATTGAATAGTGTGGAGAAACGAAATAATAATTCTGAAATAATAATTCCATTTATTTATAATAATAATTCTTTTATGATTTAGAATAAGTTACTAATTTAATTAATGTTACATGATAAACACGAACCAATTAAGAACTTAAAATCATTATTTATTCACTTTTAAAAAGTTTAAAAAGAACTCGAAATTATTCTTAAAAGGAAAGTCTAGATAGTTTTTAAATTAGAATGAAACCTAATACTAATGAAAGAATTGTTTAGCGAGAGATGATTTTCCTTGCTGCCAAATTTAGATATGATGTTCGTCTAGTCTAAATTTAGTGGTCGTAAATTTAACAATGATCATAGTACTAAAAAAGAATAGAACTCTACAACTAGAGACCTATTATATGAACTATTTTTTAAAAGGTAGGACAGAAAGTGACTTCTATAACTTTAAATTTTGCGCGCAATTTAGGAGGTCTTTAGACTGAGCCAACTATATCAAAAAGATTATAAATTCAAATTTGATATACGAAACTCTTTATAGTTCCAGTACCTGTACTTTCTTCATTTGTTCATTTGTGGTAGAGACATTTTTTATAAAGGGAAGCATGTTAATGATTGCTTTCAAAAGATATAACTTGCTGTATTTTATTTCATCAAATAGCAGTGATTTAGCAAAATAATAAAAATATGAATAGCTTCCCTATCTTTCTATTAAAGCAAATCGATTAGATATGCAAATTTTTTTGAAATGCATGATAATGTTGTACGTGAAAATGAAATTATGTGAATTCGCAATTCACATATGTGAAATTCAAATTTACATACGTGAAATTCAAATTAGCCAATCAGAATTTCACCCCACTCCATAATATTTCAATTTCACATAATTTCAATTTCACATTCAACAATAATAAATGTGCAGGTTTTTTAATGTTACACATATATATCATCAAAACATTATAAGTAAAGATTCGGATAAACTTTAAAACGTAAAGGCTCAATAACCAAGCAGGCTTTAGGAATAATCTTCCCGCAATTTTATTTCCAAACACTCAATTAATAGCCTATCAGAGTGTTTTTTTATTTATGTTAGTAAAAATTTTTTTATAAAGGTTCAATCCCAGTTGTCGATTTTACTATAACAGTGGAAATTTAGATAAATTTCACAAAATCTAAAGGCTCAATAACCAAACAAGTTGCGGGAATAATCTTTCCGCAATTGTATTTCCAAACGCTCAATTAATAACCGATCAGAGAGTTTTTTTCATTTATATTAGTAAAAAAATTTTTATAAAAGTTCAAAGTTGTCAATTTTATTGATTTTTACTATAAACAATGGAAATTTAAAATATAAAGGCCCGATAATCAAACAAGCCGTGTGAATAATCTTTCCGCGATTGTATTTTCAATCATTCAATTCATAATCTATCAGAGTTTTTTTTATTTGTAAAAAAATTTTTATAAAGGTTCAAAGTTGTTAATTTTATTGATTTTACTATTTTGAAGGTGTTTATTATTTTGATGATTAACAAACAACCACAACAATTTATATCTAAAAGTTTATCTGGTAATTCAAATCTTATTCCAAGCAGGAAAACCAACATAAAAAGCCTTTAATATTTTTAATTAGTAACTGGTCACTCGTGACACAAACTTGAGCAAAGATGCCTTTGGCCTGTTTATTATTTAGATGACATCAGCCTCCAATTATTTTAGATGGTAAAGATTTGGCAGCAAATTCCCATTCTCCCACACCGTCACCATTTTTTAATAGAACCAAAAATTTCCCTCTTTACCAACCTTTAATGTTGAATCAGTGAAATCAATTAGCTGGTTGATAGATCATGACCATAGTCATCCTTATTGTGATATTAAGATATGGAATGAGTAGCTTTAATTATAAAGTATGAAGTGATGATGATTTAATTTTATTAACAAATAAAGCTCGATTCCTGATGATGTAAGGAATCTGACATCACAACAGTGACCTTTCAAATATTCTGTGCTCTTGTTTAGAGAACAGCAAGAAAATACATGAGAATGATATAGATAAATCGTGAGAATGGTATACTACATAGCCGCATCACAAATTAATAAATCTTTCCCACAAATCATCTTTGCTCTATCATTAGATTTTTGCTGATGTATGCACATGCTTTTAAAATCACGTGTATGATGTATCCTTTGTAAAATTTGATTACTTGTTTTTTATATACTTCAAGTGTCAAGTAAATAGAAGAAAAATATAAAGCATTAAAATAAAGTTTAAAATTAATCACCATACGTCATCATTGGTTCGGTTTTTTTTTCAAAAAACACCAATTTTACCAGACATTACCGGCTGTAAAGAATAGTAGTTAACATATAATATCTATGGAAAATGAAACACGTGCCATACCTTATCGACATCTGAGACAAACGAATTTTCTTCCTTTCATATGTTTTGATTGAATTTAACATTCTATAATAGTGAAAAATAGTGTTGGTTTTCAAACCATCTTGACAAATCGACACTAGCAATGAAGAAGATGATAGTGAAAAAAATAATAAATCAGCGGCAACTAAAAAATTCCAATTCCACAGATCAATTTTTTAAATTGATCACTCTCTTTCTGGGAAAATTCGAATAAATAAGAATATAACACTCCACATTTTTAATTAAGTGAGTTTTGACATAGGTTTTGAGTTTCATAACTTTGGAAAATAGGATCATTGTGAAACTAGTTTCGAAACTTCAAAAGTTTTGGCAATCATCAATATTATGTTTTCAATTTTTGCCTCCAGTGCACCCAGCGGAAGAGAGCTTCGCCTCAGATTTTCTCAATTTGTGGATTTCTGGGAATATAAGCAACACACCAGTAAGAATTTGGAACGAAAAACCCCAAAAATAGACAGATAAATATATGCATCACCTATGTATGTATATTAGTCCCAGGTCCCAGAAATTTTCAACTGTTTAAATTTATGGTCCCGGGATTGAACTGTTTGGGCATTAAATGCCTTGCCCAAGACGAGTACAAGTAATAAAGCTAATTGGTATTAGTATGTATTATTTAGTAATAGTATTTAATTTAATGGAGTAAATAATATTACACGTTAACAAGAATAAGACAATAGACCGTTTTATAGTTCGTTTTTATTGATTACAATATTATTCCCTTCTATTGTCCGTGTTTTATATAAAAAGAGAAGAAACGGAATCATTTCAAACTATTGTTGGTCGCCATAACTATTTTGAAGAGACGAAAGTCAAAACTAAAATTAAAAGCTATATGTCAAAACTAAATCAAAAGTCAATAGTCAAAAATCAAAACTAGTTTCTAAAATTTAAACTTATAGCTAAATTATAGCTTATCTGACACCATGGCGTCAACGCAATTCGTTGGTGGACCATGAGAAGTGATGTTGATTTAACTAATGGTGCATTTCTTTACCCAACACGTAAATTGTTATTGAAGCAACTTCTAAAAGATATTACACACAAGTATTGCAAGGTAACAAAGACCATAAATTACTCCCCGGTTCCAGAATTTATGTTAAAAGTGAGTTTAGTGATATTGAAAATTCTTTCAGCAAAGCAATCATTTCATTGTATAAAAAATTAAATCCTCTCTCAAATACCGAGTATTCTAGTCCATTATATTAAGTTGGGAGGATGAGAGCAATTTAGAAACATCATTGGAAGGTGTGCAATTTCCTTCTTTTGTTATCAAAGTAGACAAATTTAAATTTCATATTATACTGTTAGGAATTTCTAAAGATGCTGATATAAATGAAGTAGAATAGGATTACATGTCATCTTTTATTGATGAATATAAAAGGCAAAGATCAATGTCTGTTCAAAAAATTGGTCGAGATGGATGCCATATAGGTATTTATTAAAATTGAAGGTTTCGTTGGTTTAAAGTTTGTGAGAAACAGGATTATGAAACAAATAAATAGAAAAACCTTTTTTAGATCAGTGCATAAGATGACATGTCAAAGTTTGGCTAATTAACAAATTCCAAAATGCATTCGAACTTTTTTGGAGCAACGAGATACCATGTATCAAATTTTTAATTATCATTTAAAAAAAGAACAACTGCAAATATTAATTAGTTCTATTTTTTGAAACTTGGAAGAATCAAAGTACAATTATTGAGTTGAATATAGCTTTAAAAAACCTTTATCCTACAGGACATGTGTTTAATCGACGTGAAATAGAGACATGGCGAGCAATGTTGAATGCCACTGGGCGTACAAAGATGTCACCTTTTGAAAGAAATCATTCAAAGGTAACAAATTAATTAATCTTAAATTGTACCAGACACCATTAGCATCACGCCGGGCACTGTTGGAACCATGCCAAGTATTGCCCAAGTTCTCGTCTTTTTTTATTTGACACCAATACTTCTATACCCCCAACATTTTAAGCACCTGCCAGTCACGCCCGCTGGATATTTTTACAAGTGTGACATTTTTAGTAAATAAATTTATACTTTTGCAAAATGGGAAGATAAGTAGTTTAAATCGAACTCTTTTTCCTTCTTTGCTATCGTATTAATATTGACACAATAAAATACTTTTAAATAAGACTTAACTTTCGCTACATTTGTGTTTACTTTCCACCTATTCTACATTCGTGTCTATATTCCACCTTTGTGTTCGAATTTCAATGGCCTGTTTATGGGGAATATGCAATATATCTTTGTGCTCGTTCTTTATCAAATTTTGGAAGATGGAGAACATCTCTCCAGTCATTATCTGAAAAACAATGGATAATAAAATACCTACCCGACATTATTTGATCACACCATTCCAAATTCTAACGGATTATTCCAATGCCAAGCAATCATAGTTAATAATAATCTAAATATACATGTAAGAACATATAATTGATACTTTGCTAACAAATAATCACGACTTCAAACCCTAGTCGGTGGCCTATTGATGAAATCAAAAAGAAATAGTATATAGGTTGATAATGATAGTAGTAATGTCGAATTAGCAGTTCTTTTGCAAGAAGCAATTGATAATGAAATTATAGGTATGAAATTTACATATCAAAATATATGTATTTGTAGAATGTCAATAATCATTATACCTTTATTTATAAAGGCAAAATCATTAACCCCACAAGAGAATGATTTCAGCGAGGAGAAAAACGTTAGATCATGATGTTGTTGTAGAAAAAATGAAGGTGCATTTTTTAAAAAATAGGAACAACGATTTTTTAAAACTTGCCTTCAAAACTAACGATAAGTTTTCTGTAGAGTTGATTATTTTGTGATAGGATGAGCATTGAAAGAAAACCAAGTGTGTGGTGAAAAAGAGAGGTAAAAAACAAATTGGTGACAAAGTCAAAGAATGTATTTTCTTTCTGAAAATCTCTGCAAAGATACGTTTCAAAAATTGGAGAAGGCTGCCCGTGACTTTTTTGAAGGCGAATGTATACAAATTGCAATCCTTTTGATTTCAACTTGTTTTCGAAAATGGCTAGATTTGAAAATAAGGTTCGTTTCATCCATAAATATAAATAAAGCAACCTCAACTTTATGATATTTCTCTCAATACGTTTAAACTAATGATTTTGCAATATTTTCTATAGTTCAAGATGACTATTCTTCCAAAAAGATAAATTTTTATCCATGTTTAAATTTTATAAAATACTACTAGAAAGAAGGCAAAATTAATATTGGATGCCGACCCTGTGATCATAAGTATGTGATTATTATTATAACGAGATTTATCTATATTATACGTTCTATGTACAAAGTTCACGCCAGCGCACAAAATTTTCTTGTGAAAATTTCGGAAATTTTTTCTGAAATGGATGAAATATTTACCGAAAACTCCAGCAAATTAGGGTACTTTTTGTGCACTGGTTCACGCAAAAACTTTAAAAATTGAAGCGCGTGTAACATTATTATTTTGAATGGATCACAACAATGTCCAATTTGCCTTTTTTAAATCGATCATCAAGAATGACACGATCAACAAAATGTTTTGGCCAATGCGAATATTAAGTTTTTATTTTATAATTATACGAAAATCTATTTTTAAAAAATTATTATTATTATTATTATTAAATAATACGAAACAATATAGCTGGTATGTGAGGTTTATCTTTATTAATTAAAAATATTTACAAGGAAGTTTTGTGTACTTGGGATACTAAAATGAGTATAAATTAAAAATGTACTACAAACGAACAAGAATTTAATGTCATTAATATTAGAGTAAAAACGTACTCTCGAGGAATAAAACTACTTCTCAGTGATGTAATATGAATTCTAATGTCTCCTGCTAAATTTTCACATGAAAAATACCGTTAACATATACTACCCACGGAATGTCTTTTAAAGTTTACAACTTGATAATTGACTCTAGTGAAATAATTTGAAATAATTTTTTTAGCATGACAAATTCTTGAAAGTCGTGGCATGTAGTAGTAAAATATTGTTGACATGAATCATGAGGAATTCTTTTATTTTACTATTTTTACTCTTGTTTTTTGGTATAACCGTACCAAAGCCATCGGTTACACTATAATTACCATTTATTTATCTATATTTGCGAGTCAGTGTAACCGATGTCATTTTTTCCTTGAATTATTATTATATAAAGGCAATGGGACCTTTCCCATTTTCTATTAATCGAATTTATATGAGGCTGTCACAATTTTTTTTAAAAAGTACTTTCGAATAATAATGTTGGCGGTCACATTCAATAGAGTTTTCCCGGTCCTGTCAGGCCTCACACAACAACAAAAAAAAAAGCAACTTGGAAAAATGCAGTCAGATTTTCCAAGAATAAAACATAAAAAAAAAAAAAAACAAAAATCTATTTACCAAATTAGCCTCTCTCGATTTAAAAACGGTATGCCGATGTCACATAATAATAACATATACTTTAAAACAACGGTTTCGTTTTAAGAACTAGAAAAAATTTTTAAATTAAAAAAGGGTTTCAAAGTCAGCCAAGAATTCAACTATGTTTGTTTGTGTTTATACTAACACATAATACTCAATTTCTCGTGTCTCAACCAATTAATTAATTCAATTAATTAATCATTCAATATTTACAGATAAATAATGATTCTATTTTTTATTATTAATATTAAATGATTTTGCTTTGTTTATTTTTTTAAAAAAATTTATTCTTTCTTCCACCAAAGAAAATCAATGTCGCGAATCATCTTATCACCCGAAAGGAAACCATTTGTACTCAAAACCTACAACGAAATGTATGATCATATATTCTCAAGCGTACCATCCAGAGAAGCACGAAAAGGCGCTTTTATATTACTAATATCCAAATGTACAGAGTTCACCGAAGATGAGAAAACGTATTGTAAAAAAAAATTCATCCAAAACTTTGAATCGAACAATGCACTCTATAAATGCGGTAGACCATTTACATGTAAAAAATGCAATTCCATCAGATATTCGGAGAGGTACTGTGAGATATGCATTAGGCACCATCTGGAAAGTTTGTTTGACAGTTGGACCTCTGGTAATGAGGAAGTAGACAGATTCATACAAAATTGTCAATTGATTTCTTCTCTACCAAGAAATATCATGGAATGGATCCCTTATGACCAGTTTGAAGATATCGAATATATGACAGAAGGCGGATTCAGTATGATTTATATGGCCACCTGGACACGTGGGTGTACTGAAGATTGGGATGAAGAGAAAAATGAATTCATTTATTTTCATAACCAAAAAGTAATCTTAAAGTGTTTGCTTAATACAAAACATCCAAATAAAAAGTTTTTTGAAGAGGTAATAAATAAATATTATCATGATAACAATATGCAGTGTGTAACAAAAATAATCGGAAAGCAATGATTTTTTCTTTGTTTTCTAGCATATATATTAAATTAATATAACTTTCTATATAAAATGGTTCATTAACATGAATATGATCTTTAAAAGGCAATAATATTTAAAATTGTTCAACCAACAAATTTTTTTTGGAATTTTGTTAATTAAGGTAGAGTAATAGATGCTAAAAAATCTTTGCAAATTAAATGGTTATAATTGTAATTTTTAAGCTTAACATTGAAAGCAATTAATAAAAACTTCCGATTCATGACTTTCTTTAATATGCCTTTTATCATTTATCATGCAACCATTTTTAATAAACAAAAAAAAAACGGCTTTTTTGTTACACGCTGTATTGTAATTAATTCATTATGACTAATTCTCTTGTGTTTAAATTTTTTTTTTATTAGGCAATGAATTATAGTAAACTCCAGTCAGAAATGATTGCCGAGTGTTATGGCATAACAAGGTGTTCAAAATCAGGAAATTACATGATGGTCATAAACTATCTTTCGGATGGAAATCTACGAGACTATTTAGAAAAAAACCATTCCACATTAACATTAAAAGATCGAATCACCATTTTCTACAACTTGATAGATTCGCTGGATGATATTCATGAGAAAGACTTGGTCCACTGTGACCTACACAGTGGAAATATATTGATGCAACAATCAGGTGCCTGTTACATTACTGACCTTGGCCTGTGTGGACCAACTAATGAGGAGACACACAATGGTATCTATGGAATAATGCCATATATCGCACCAGAAATATTCAATCGCAAACCAAAAAACAAAGAGTCAGACATATATGCTATTGGGATGTTAATGTGGGAGATATTTTCTGGACATCCGCCATTTGATGATAGAGCACATGATCTTGATCTGGTCATGGATATATGTCGTGGACATAGACCACCCCCTTTGCCACATATGCCAAAAAGTTATGTTGAATTGATGCAACGATGTTGGTGCCAGAATCCTATTGAACGGCCAGATATTAAACAGCTTCTGAAAGAAGGTAAAGAGATATTCAAGTGTGTTTATGAAAGTGAGGAATTGTTGAATGTAAGTTTTGGATGTGGTAATGGGTATGACAGTAGTGCAAGTAGTGATGTAAGTAGTGATGAGGGAGGTGATGATAATGATAAAATAGTTAAAAAATTTTTTAAAAAATTCTTCAAGAAAGTTCCTAAAAGGAAAAAGTCCTCAACTAGTATTAATAGTATTAAAAGTAATAGTAGTAACAAAAGTAGCAATTGCAGTATTTATAGTAATAATAGTAATGACGGTGACGGTAAATTCAGTAGTAAATATAGCAGTAATACCAGTTACAATAGTAGTGGTAGTAGTCGAAGCACACAACAAAAATATGTATCACATAAACTTGCACTTCATAAAAGCACGAGATTAAACAAACATATTCCTGAGAATGTGAGTGATTTTACTTTACAATATAATTTTGAGATCAGAGCAAGTCTTGAAGAACATGTTAGGCAACTTCATCATGGTGAGAATACCAATGAAAATAAGATTGTCTTGGAAGAATATCAAGGTATCTATTGATTATTATTTTTTTTTTTTTTTAATAAAACATATATATTAAATATCAAATTAATTACAAATTTCTGTATATTATTAAAAAAAAAAAAAGACTGCAAAATACGCATAGAAATAACCAGTGAACTTGACGATGCCTTTAAGTTGTAAATATGTGTGTGTTTATAACCATTTTTTTAGCAATTATAAAATTATAAAATTATTATTTGTATCCATTATTATTATATATATAATTTGGCAAATTCATAATCGATTTCAAAAAATCTGTGGAGCGATGAAGCAAAAAATATTATTTTAATATTGAACAATGGAACAGTAGAGAATAATTTATAGCTCCATTGCTCCAGAGTTGCCAACCCTGAATAATATTAATAATCATTATAACCAAATTTTAAATAAATTATATTACCAGATTTATCTCTTAGTATAATATTAAACTGAGATTTCTGGATATCCGCAAAACACTTAAAACTAAATAATGATGACTCGACATTCTCTTTTAACTTTGGCGCTTTTTTAATCAATTCTAAAAAAAAATTTTTTGCGTTTTCCAAACCATTTAAACCATTTATAACTTTTGTACTATAAATACAAAATTTTTAGATTAATTGTAAGATTATAAAAATATCGCACGTTTGATTTTCGTCCATTATAATTATAATAATAAGTAACATATCTCGAGAGTTTTATATGAAAATCCGTAGTATTAATGTATAATAATAATAATAATAAACTGATTTGGCACCCAAAATCCGTAAAACTAAGATTCTCTAAATCGTACTAGGAACCTCCTAAACCCATAAAATTTGCATGTGATTTTTATACACGTGAATTGAATTTTATTGTAATAAAATCCCGAAAAATGGATAGGTTAGTTTTGGTAATTTTTCACCAACATTGCGTTTTTCAACAGTAACTTTTAGGTCCTTTACTACAAGGATTGACCTAGTTGCAACGGTAACCTACCTATCTATATAATGTTTGGGGTTCTGTGAAACTCGATGCGGTGCAATCTTCTTGATACAGTGTATTGTTCGTTACAATGGAGTAATTCAAATAATTTATGGTGGAGAAAATTCAAAACCAATCATAAGAAAAAACTTATTGATACAATGTAGTATTGTAATGTTAAAATACACAGCTAATGTATATATTATATTCCTCGACTTTTATTAAGATACAGTGCGGATCATCTATACTCAAAAGTTAAAATTTTTGAAATATTATGTGATCCACACATTGGATTTTAAA